CCTCACGGATACCGGTTTTTTCTACAGCTGTGTATTTCCAACTGTTGTCCCTGGATGAAGTGTCAAAACGGGATCTTTTGTAGAGATCTTCTCTCGGGAACTACTGTACTTCGGATTTTTTGCGAGATAAGATTGATGAGTTGATGGTACGGTACACGTTTTAGGCCAAAAGTAACTGAAGAAATCCCCCGAACCATTTGGGATCATTATTGATCATTGTCATCGGGATCAACTCTTATTGGTGACTCGCTTAATAGTACTTTCTTCAATCGCATGTCACTGATTTGAGAATTTTCTTGCTGAACATAATTGCTTGGCTATTTCAAGTTTTTTAGCTTCTCTAAAACAGAAAACGTGGAGAACAGATTACTTCATTAATTTGAGCGTAATTATCAGATGTGAATACATCGGCACAAGACATTTTAAGATATTTCAATTCATTTTTACGACTGAGGCCATTCGCAGTTTAAACTTTCCATTTTGTCAGGTTCATCAAAATTGGGATAAATTAACAGAAAATTACGACGAAATTCGTAAATTTGGAGAAATTGAATCAATCTAATAGATCAGGGAAAAGCGAGACAGGCAAGAATTGTGAACTGCTTATAATTTGAATTGCATTTTATCGGGCTGGAACAAGTTTCAAGAAAACTTTCCATAAGCGTAAAATCCCGAATATATGTGATGATTTGATTTATAAATACTTATACGCAAAACCAGTTGTCTTTCTTGTTGAGACCTTTTGCACATTCTACTTTGGAACTTGAAACGCAGACAAAGCTGAGGTGGATGATTTACCCCTCGTTCTCCGGAAGACCCCTCTGCAAAATCAAGAACATTCCAACCCTTCGGCAGAAAAGTCGAGGTCTATTCAATATTCGATGAACCCTTGCAAATATGAACAATTTTATCCTGAAGCCTGAAACATTTCATATCCGAGAATCAGCGTAAAAATCACTTCATCCATGTAAACTTTTTACTTATTTTAGACGACAAATGGTGTCGATAAGGTGAAAGGACCAAAACCAGCCGGAGAAAAGCTCGAGGATTGCATGCTCGTTGATCTGGGATCTTTCATGAGCAACATTGAAAATGTAGAGAAAAATGAAACCACGGTAAATTGGCCGATCATAGCTTTCGAAGATGACATGGAAAATCTTATGTACGGCCCTGGTAAGAAAGTCATCAAATAATTTTTCACCGAGATCCACAATCTCGACTATTGTCCGAATCCGCAGCACTATTTGGCAACCCAGTGACGATAGATGAAGGAAAACTGCTTCGCGCTGATGCATTTAGGCTCCTGTATGTTTTGAACGAAGACGATCCAATAATCAACGAAGTGTGAGTTCCTTTTTAATACTCATACCTTCTTTCCATAATAAAAAAACTTGGATTGTATAAACTTTGTATAGAGCCCTCAGTGTAAGGTTAATTAATCTATTCGTAACTTTCTCACGCGCAAGCGCGTAGTCAGCGATTCTTCCCTACTTCGAATGGAAACCTCGAATTAAATTACAGTACTGTACTTCACACAATTATTACACGGAGTCCGGAAATAACTCTTTGCGTGCAGATATTTCTGTATTCTACTTTAGAATACCCCTTCATTGTGGCAGGGAATACGCAGCACAGAAGTGTGAATCACGAATATATATACAGTAGTGGTCCAGCACATGAAATAGCCTTGGTCTAAATTTATAATAGCCGAAGGAAAAAAAAACGGGTTTTTTCAAAACTTTGCACATAAACTAATCCAAACTTGGATTCATGCCACAAAAATGCTCATATTATACGCATAATAAAGTATGCCACATGAAAAAGTGGAAGAATCCAGAGCAGGTGGTTATGCGATAGATTTGAAACGTGGAGATGAGTCAAAAGAAAAGGAGAATACAGTTAGGAATGCCAGCAGTGACATCTACTCCCACTGAAGCAATTTGCCATACCAATAGAAAAAGGAATATTTTTGAAGTACTGTACTCGAGATTTACATTGAAGTTCATTGCACAGTTCATCGCATTTCTGGACATCGTGAAGGTACAATATACGCGCTTATTTAATATTTTTACGTATGCATTGTTCTCATCAGTTTGCCAATTTGGAGTGATGCCATCGTATTCAAGCTCCAATCCCTCGCATCGAAACGGTTGAAGTACACTGATATTAGCTTCATCACGCATACGTATTGGAACCAGGAAGAGTTCCAAACGCTGATTTCAATCCTAAAATACGGCACATTAGCCGGTATTGCACTGGTTATTTTCACAACTTGTGCAACGATTACTGGCGACTGGGTGACATCTAAATTCTGGCTCGGTCTAATCGCCGTATTTACAGTCATCATGGGGATCTTGAGCACATATGCTGTTTTAGCTCTTGCCGGGGTTGCCTTCACGGTTTACACGCCGGTGGTCGGCATTTTAACTCTAGGTGAGTACTGAACAGTTCGTTGTATCAGCCGTTCGTTATTTGGTGAAACAATTCTGAACCGAAGACGTATAGCATCATTTGTACGGGTATATGAAGGAAACAACGTATCGTGAACCCATGAAGACATTGCAGAAGTGCAAATTTTTTTGGGGCAGGAGGCAAACAAGCGTTGATTTTGTGAAACCTGTGATTTATTTCGTCCAGGAAAACTGCAGAAAAATTCTCTGAACGGAAGTTATGGCGAGGCTCATCAATTTTGCCGAATTGTTCGCGAAAAAATTTCGCGGCTCTCTTTTATTCATGCAGTGATTTTCCCATCATTGAAGGAACCCAAACGTGGCTTTTTCGCCTGAAGTAAACTTTTGCAGAAAAAAGACGAACGCACGATCGAAGTCTTATGAGGAATGCACGTTTTATTCGGAGGATCCCTGCCAGAAATTGGAATGAGATTTTTCAAATTTTTGTGTATAGTTTTCGTGGGCACTTTTCATATTCCTAACACAACACTGGGTGTTCATAATTTTTTATGTGCAGACAGAAGGCTGAAGGTTTTTTTATGCCGTTAATGACGATTTTTGGGCAACTCTCGAGAGTCGCCCAACAACAGCAAAAAAGAGTTTCTCAATTTCTGATCAGGACTTTTGACAAACTTTTTTGCCATGATGTGTTGATTGTTCTTCAGGTATTGGAGTTGACGACGCGTTTGTGTTGCTTAACGCGTGGATGGTCACTTCAAGGAAACTTTCGGTTCCTGAACGATTAGCAGAGGTTTACGCTGAAGCTGGGATTTCCATTGCGACTACGACAATCACGAACGTCTTGAGTTTTTCCATCGCAGCCATGTTACCCATCAAGTATTTCACGGTATTCGGATTGAACTCAGGTTTGTTTTGTCCCACGTTACGAGTGTGGTGCAAACAAGGATGAGATTTCGTCGGTTATTTCCACAGCCGTTGGAGTCGGATTTGCATATATTTATACTTTGACTTTCTTCGGAGCATTTTTGGCGTTGATGGGAAAATTCGAAGAACAGCAGCGGAATTCAATCACTCTCATGAGGATGTCCAGGGGCAGAGACATCATGGACCCTCAAAGTGATGAAAAACCGGGTAAGCTACTGTTTTACGCGTGAATTCCTTAACTTTGTGTACTTCACGTATTATGCCTCAGTCAATAAATGATGTAACCGTAAAATAGTAAACTTCGAGCAATTAACGATAATAAATAAATTCCACACAAGAAATCGTTATTCTGACGTACGCAAGTGATCTAAACGTAATTTTGGCTCAGGTGTATACGGTAGCTGTTATATTACAGAGTAACGCTTACAGAACCATTACCCATTTCAATTCTAAAAATGAACAAATTCCAGATAAATTGCATCCAGACCAGATTTTTTTGTGTGACGCACGTCTGCATTATTTTTATAAATTAGACATGAACTCGAGGTGCTGTTGACTTCAGCTAATTCCGGGAACTCTTATTTTAAAAACGCAAAAAACATTCTCCATTTTTTCTGATTTTTTCAATTCAAACCTCTCCTTCGTCTATACCGAGGAGATGCGAGGTGCTCATGTAGAGATTGCAAGTTCATTTTTATTGTTCTAAACCCGAATAAGTGATTCATTGTTCAACTAGTTTAAAATCCGGTGAATAAAAAATAATCCACTGAGGATGGCTATAAGGATTACAGCTTAAAGGGTCACCGTGAATCAATCTTCTCACGCTCGGAAAATTTTATGGAGAATTTTTAAAATTAAAAGATGCATCTGTGATAAAGGTTGATCCTAATTTATTATGTAGTTACAGACGACGAGATACCGACGTACCCCATTCCCTTCCTGTATGCGCTCAACAGTATGGAGTGGTGTAAAAGTTGGGCTCAAATTTTGAATCATCGATTCGCTAAGGTGAGTTCACTTCTTTTGTATTTAGTTTATTTGCCTGTGTTTTTCCGTTCTCTCGAACATCGTAACAGTTGCCATTGGAACGTGACTTGCTCTTGCATATAATGAATTGACGATGAGGTTGCGCGGGAAGACAAGGTTGTGAACGTTGGCGAAGGTCGTCATGATTCATCGATTTCTTGCAGACAGGATTCGTTATTTCGCTCGGGGAATGATTTCTTGCAAGCACAGACATGTATCTGTCGTCCAGCTATTTTTGAAATTTCTGATGCAGTATTTTTATGCGTATCAGAGTATGCAATGTATTTGTAGTGTACCGCAATAAAGCTACTGAACTTCTCTACGACGAAATTCAAAAAACCACAAAAAATCGTTCTATAGGAAGAGTTTCGTCTTAAGAGAACCCGTATATTAAATGAGGAGAGAACCAATTGGGACCAAGAAAAAACTCTTTATACGAAGACAATTTTTATAGACAAGATGACATAATCCAGCTCATATATAGAGAGAGTTCACCTGTATACTTGATGCCTTTTCGTTGTAATATTAGTGCAGTACTGTACTTCGAAACAAACCCATATCTTGATTAGTTTCTGAGTAATCCTATAGGTATTTTAATTTGTTAGTGCCATTTTTGTTTCAGTTTTACGTTAGCGGCATTTTCCTAGTGTATCTCATCGTCATGGGATATTTTGCGAGCCAAACTGACTACGCTTTATACACCGAGGGCACTTTGTTAGATGGCAGTCCTGCGCAGCAGTACCTGAAAGACATGAGTTCGCTGTACCTTCAAAGTCCTGAACGCTACTCCGTAAGTTCGGTTTAGTTTTTAGGAAACTCTTCGAGCGTGTGACAATGAACAATTTATCTCCCGACTTCTTTTTTTATTCAAGATAATGGTCATGGGAGAGCTGGATTATTCGGATCCAGTGATTCAAGGCGACATGTCGTCCCTATTGATTGCTGCGGAAAACTCCGAGTTCTTCCAAGAATCTCTTTTCACCGACTCATGGTTGCGATCTTTTTTAGCCTTTGTAGATTCCACAAAGGAAATATTTCCTATGAACGTTTCGGACGAGAAAAATTTCAACTACAATCTGAAGAAGGTATTGTTGGATTTAATACTTCTTCATTTTATTCAAACGAATATAGGAAGTGTCGAAAACTTCGCATTACGGAATTTGATACATAATTTTTTCGAGTCTTCTTCTTCTCTTGTTTGAAATTATATTGAATATGTAGTTGAAGATTGGGATTATTTTTACGTAATCGATGTTCGCCCGTATACGTGTGAACATGAAGAAAAAGTTGGAAAATTGAAAGTTCCCCTCCTTGCCGCGAGAATATCTATGTTGATGTCCCGTATTTTTTATTTGTCAGGCAGTCTCAATGTTATTGAAATCCCAAATACGTTTTGTCACCAAGTCCCGTATCTAACAACCACGTATGAAAAATGAATTCTTATCCCGGCAATTTTGTTGTAATATATGGTAGTGCTCAACGTGACTGTCGCGCAAGAACTTCAATTCGTGTGTATTTTTTCAGGACTATAATTTATGAAAATCCGTAAGAAATGGACAAAGGTTGTTCAAGTTATATTATTGATACTTGGGGGTTCGGGGAATTTTTGATATTGAAAACCTGTTTATTTTTTAAAGAGTGCATGTCTTATTGTTCCAGTTTTATCTGGCTGGAAGAGACAACCCGTTGGCCAGTGATGTTCGTTTCAACGAGGAAGGGAATATAATTGCTTCGAGGTTTATGCTCCAACCGAAGGCCCTCAAATCTGTGACTGGCTATTATCCCCTGATGAAGTATGTGAGAGGTCTCATTCGAACTCCACCATACTCAGCTTACAACATCACTATTTATAATCCCAACAACGTTTTTCTTGCAGAGCTGGTGAGTATAATTTGAATTATTTATTGTAACGATAGTTCTTGAAAAGATTTGATTACGACATATAGGAATCTTCCATTCAACCTCCTTCTAACTTATCAACCAGTCTGATCGTCTGATATTATTTTTTATATTTGATATTATTTTTTGATAATCTTTAGATTGAATAAGAAGAAAGAATTATTTCTTCGAATGTCATCTTTGCTGCGATTTCAGTTTGGTCATATTCTCCTTTTTTTGTCTTCTTCGTGGGGATCAGATTAAACCACTTGTCCGGAAATCTCTACTGCAGAGTCCAATTTCAAGATCACAAAATTAAATTTTATGTGACGTAGACACGATCGGTTTTCGGATTGGATTCATTTTTATCGAACGAAAGGGGACATTTTATTGCTGAGTTCATGGAACGTTGGACGGGTTGAATCCGTGACTTGCATCTTTTACAGCATTTTTTCGGGTTCTGAATTAGTTTATGGTCACAGTAGATGACAAATGCATTCTATTTGACATAGTTTTTCCTTAATAGTTATTATCGTATCTTATCTTAATTTTTTGGAAAATTACAATCAGCCTATTTCACTTAGTGGTCTTCGTCGAAGAAATCGTTTTCTAGAATAAAATACAGATAGGACGTTTAGGGGTAATATATTTACTATAAATCTATGTGTGTCAGAGCTTTTTCCGTGCTTTTTTTTGTCTTCGTGCATAGTTTGCTAAAATGTTGCCACCATTGTTCAAATTAAATTATTTTCACTTCAATAATACCAGACGTCGCAATGCATTATTTCTAAGCATTGTATTTGTATAAGAACTCTGCATTGAATGAAGCATTGCATTAGAACGCTGAAAAGAGCTCTTGTGAGTTTTTCCGAAGGTTGAACTACCTCGATAACTCAAACCTCCGTATGTCGAAATTTTTTCAAGTCCCTTTCTGAATTTCCCTAGAAACAATGCATTAAAAACCTAATTCAAGGCTATCCCCTTCAAACCTCCATAACGTGAATTTTATGGATGCCTTTTGGCCATTATTTCATTGACACAGGAAACATAAAAGCAATAAAAATGTAAGATGTTTTTTGAAAGGAAAAAATACCCATTGAAAAACGAATCCTTGCCTCCAAGTTTGCTGGCATCCTGACAACTCGTGTATTCTGCAGTTCAATGCCAGAAAACACACATATAAGTTTCCTGCAATTCTTCACATTTATTTCCGGCAAAAATAGTAGTTTCCCAGACTCAATTTTTTAATGGTCCGTTGAACTTCGAATTCAAGAGGTTTGACTGAGTGAAAAAAACTATAATGCTGTTGTGCTGAAGTTGATTAAGAACGTTGCAATAATATTATTGCCGCCTCAGGTGTCAATTTTTTTTTTTTTACGTACGTCTCGAAATTCTCGCATGTATAAGTTGAAAAATCACAGATTCCGCGTTCTTTTTCAAGTGACGTTGAATTCGAAAAAAAAACTTGCTGACTCCTCTTATATCCTCTAAGCCCAATATGAATCTGAACTTTTTCTTTTACATTTCCAGTACAGCGTGATGCGGGACCAGGTGGTGCCTGCGGTTTTGATGACGTGCCTAGTCATGTGCGTCGTCGGCTTCATCATGATCCCGAAGAAGGACTACGCTCTCTACGTAGGCCTGAGCATCGCATCAACAGAACTCGGGATCGTGGGTTTTCTTCGCATGCTGGGCTACAACATAGACCTTATGATCTTCAATACTCTAGTAGTCGCCTTCGGGTTCTCCATTGACTGTGTAGCCCACATTTCTTTTGCTTTCTCAAAGGCCCGTTGCGATATTAGCTCTCCAACGAAATGCGACTCTTGCGCCGCAGCCGGGTTATCTGCCAAATGCGCCATGCAACCCGTGGATCGACTGACGTTGGCACTGAAAAGAGTCATGAGAGCCTTGTTCACTGGCTCTTTGAGTACTATCATTGCTGTGGCACCGTTGTACTTTGTGCCGAGCAACGTCATTTATCCGTTTTCCATCGGACTCGTTATCACGATCACGCTGAGTCTTTTGCACGGGTTTGTTTTCCTGCCGACGTTGCTCTTGTTCGTGTCGTCCCGCGGGATGCCGAAGTTGCTCGTTTTGCCGGAGATGTTTGGGAATTATGGTTCTAGGGCGAATTACGCTCCGCAGCAATTCAAGCCTGGCATGTCTTTAGCTCCGATTGCCGAGTCGACTGAGATTTCTGGAGAGAGGAAAACGTCGGTGTCGATCTTAGCTGAGAATTTCCCGATGGGTAAGTTTAATAAACGCTTGAGCATTGCGTCGTGTAGGTGAGATTGTCAGTGGAAAAGAAAAAATTACAAGAAACATTTTCTATGGTGCATGATGATGGGCATGTGTTTGAATGCGTTATACATGTATTTAGTTCTTGTTGGCTTTGAAAAAAAAACACTTTTGTTGTAGTAGTCTGCTATGTAGCGTTGAATGCATGCCGATTTGAGTCGAATGTTAAGGAACTGTTGGCAAATATCGTTTCTCCGTGTGCATATGGCCTCGGACTTTTTTTATTGCTGTTCTTTTTTGCATGTGTGGAAGAAAATATTGAAATAACGACGAAGTGCATCATGTGCTGTTGTTTGTAACAAACCTGTTTTCATTGATTTCTGCAATGTTTTGGTCTTTGTGCCATTTTTGTAACACTGGTCGATCTTCGGGCTATCTCGGGATACTTCCGCAAGATTTCCTCCGCTTTGTTCAATTGTGAACCTCGCGTTCGCCCTCTCTGTCGTCTCGGTGTCGCACCTGTCGTTTGCATTCTCGGAAAGCCATGGAGACACACCGACTTTGAGACTCGAGATGACCTTTAGAAGAGTAATGAGAGCCCTACGAGTTCTTTCAGCAGCATTATTGCCGTGTTGCCGGCGACTTTGATTCCTGCGTCGCTAGCGTATGCGTTTGTGGTCGGGATTCCGACGACAATGGCGCTGAGTTTTTTGCACGGATTATGTTTTCTTCCTACTTTATGGGCGGCGTTGCCGGAAACTTCGTTAAGTGATTGTAGGGATAAAAAGATGGGAAGATGACCAAAAAAACACACGGAAGCTGTGAAGAAGTGGATGTATTCATTCCATAAGCTGCTGTTGTGGGAGGTGAGTTTAAGCTGTCGGACTTCTGATGCTCGGGTTTTATAGGAAGTTCAAGGTAAATTATTTTTATTTCTGGTTTAGATACAATTTTTGTTTTTTCTAATGATGAGCATTGAAACGAATTTCGAGAACATCTATGATAGTCTGTCGAACGGATTGGGTCATGCTGTGCTTCCGAGCACTTCTGTGCTTCTATTGTTTTTGTCTTCCATCAATGAAAGAACATGAGATTAAGTGGAACACCTGTATGCGAATGCAATAAGATTCGCGGATGTTGACTTTTCGAAAGAATACGCGTTGTTTTTATTTAGATCTTTCTGTTCTGAGGATGAATGCGCGGTGATTGTCAAGTATTCATTTTCACACTCTGGTCAAGCGCTTCATTTTTCTTGGGTATGAATAAACGCGTGAATTTTTCAATTATGTTTTGCTTGCTCGTTTTCGGTTGCTTCACGTTTGGGTGGATGTGAAAAAAAAGAAAATGGGACGCTTCTTCATTGATACATCTTTGTTTCGCTAAATACACATGGCACCGCAACAAGATAAGGCTTCTCGAGGCCCCATTTGAAGTGCATTTTGTGAGACGCTGGAGACGAGAAGGTGCAGTATAGTTTGTGTGTGCTTCACGTGTACGTTTCCGATTATCGCTGCGATCGTATAATAGAACTTTCACCCGCGAAACTGGGCTAAAAGGTCTCCAAGAACTCAAAAAAGGGACGATTGACAAAATTGTATTGGCAATGATTGGTTTCGGAAAGTCGATTGCACAAATTACGTAACATGTGAACAGATAATTATGGTTCACGCTTTATTTAATATCAGATCGACCCTTCGTTGAATGTTAAACAGCGGGTAATGGTGAATAATTAGGCCTAGACAATGTCACCACAATTTATTTGGGGTGTCAGTGTGAGTAGAATTCTTGTGGAACTGGAGCAGACAAATTTTGTCATATTTTAAGAGTGCTGGAATCGGAAAATATCTGAAATATTCTCGAGTATGTGAAGAATTTCTATGATAAATGGCCCAAGAATGAATTAATTCAAATGACGCTATTTTACTATGAAGTAAAGGTGCAGCATTTCGCAATACGAAGTGAATAACGAACTATTTTGATGATTATAGACGAAATGCATTTATTACCAGTGTTGATTTATATATTTAAAAAGAATTTTTCAGTCGTCTTGCAGTCTTCTGATGTGCTGAAGGGATGAAGATCGTGTCGAATTTCATTCGGGATCGGTTCCGTCAATTCGGGCACAATGTTGGCTCTCACCCCCTCTTCACTATTGGGATCACTGTTTCTCTTTTGTAAGTCGAACCTGATCATTTCTATCCAATTGAATAACTTTTCCACTGAATACCTAGGGTCTGCCTACGAAATTCAGGGGACCAGAAGAAATTCGTTGTAGGGAGAGTTTTTTGTTGCAGGGAAACCGGGACCGAACAAAAATGTGTTATTCTGCGAAATTCTTTGTTGAAAAGATCGTTATTATAATGGTAGATATAGTCCACATGTAATAAGAAAAAACCTATTCAATATATAGGACTGTAACTAGTGTTTTTCTCTTGTGCTGGTGATTACCAGCATTTATTCTGAAGAGGCCTCTGCAAGTCACAAAAGTTGTCTACATGATTGATCTACATCCAATTTTATCTCACTGATCTCTCAGGTCATTATTTTTCTTTTTCAGCATTTGTTTTCAAGGAGCCATGAAGTCCCTCGTTGTTGATGTTCAAGGTCAGCTAACATACGGAATTCCGTATGGGACAAGATCAAGGGAAGACATGGAAGTCATGGACCATTTCAGCACTTATCATTACGACTGCATCCCTGAATTTCTGAACCAAAACCAAAGCCTGGATCCTGGACGAATCATGCCAGATCGGGTTGCTTCTTTACATAACATACTGGGAATCATTTTAACGCCGAAACAGGGTAAGACCATTCTAAAGAGTTCCATAATTGAAGAAGCCATTTTGGTGCAAGAAGAAGTTCTGAGAACTGAAGTGAAGAAGCATTGGAAGAAGTGGACTTTTGAAGATCTTTGTATGCAAGCGTATTCTCCATGCATTGAAAAGGTTGGTTTAGATTTTATGAATGAATTACAGTGAGACCCCCACATGCGGACGCCTCGACATGGGGACGATTCGACATGGGGACATTTATTTTTTAACCAAAAAATCAAAAAAAAGACCCAAAATGAGGACACTGACTCAACCTGGGGACATTGCAGGATAAAATTCCAAAATAAATTTTAGGAAAATTGATTTTTTTAAGGCTTAATTGCAAGAAACAGATATTTCCAACCCCAAGATCTATGCAAGAGAAATTCTTTGGTACTTTTCCCAGCATTTTCCCATCCATTCAGCTAATTTAAAAAATGCCCTATAGCACAGAGGGACTTCCTTCTATAGCTCTCTTTGTGACATGGATGTTATTTTTCCAGATGCCACCTTTTCAATTTACTGTACAGAGGTACACTATTCAATGTTCAAAATGTTCTTATTGGTTTGAAAAGATAATCATTGAATCAAATTCAAGTGGCAAACATTTTTTTCATGGAATTCTGAAGAATATTTCTTCCATAAAACACCAATTAAAAATTATACAATGTAAGTCTATGGGAAAACAAGATTCGACTTGGGACACTCTTGATGCACCAATTATGTCCGCATCTGGGGTCTCACTGTATTGTTCGAAGTGGTGGCGGTGTACAGAAAAGTATTCTTTGGTAACCGAGCTTAAATCCGAAAAAGAAAACATAATTGTGAATCAACAATAACGAGACGTGAATGAAGTCATTCAATTCATTTCACAGCAAAACATTTTCTTCAATCGTCATTCCGTGCTCAATAAAACGTGATGTTATACTTTCACCAGTTTCACGGTCAGCATCGCTTATGAAAAATTGAAAAAATAATTATAGTCGGAACGAGTTATGGTGTTCAGATGAAAAATTAGTCAGTACTACATATAAATAGCTCAACTACAGTATTTTGAATATTCTGTGACGTTTTGGTTGCCGCGGCAATTTTATAAAAGGTAAATAAGGTTTGGCTCGTGAAACGTACAGTATTCAATTGGTGGCTCACTTTACATTTTCTGCCTCTCTCATTATTTCCACCTGCCTGTGAAATAAAATTGAAATGGTGTCCTGTATATAATCAAATACTTTATATCTATAATATATTCGTTGAATTTGCTGTGCGTCTATCCGTATCCAATTCTCCATCCTTCGAATAATTAAAATCTGAAAATCGCAAAAAGGACCTAACTTCTGAAGTAAAGTACTGCACAAGAGGAATCGAAATATTTACGATAATTATTTTTTGATATACTGTATTTAGGATTCAGGTGCTGATGCGATGCAGCGTTGCATGTTTACGAATGTGACTTCTTTGAAAGAAACAATCGCTGATTTTGAAAACGGAGAAACAGAATTGACTTGGCCCATCTTGTTGGTGGGGAAGGAGTTGAATGAAGTCATATTTGGTCCAGGTACGAATGCAGTTCACCTGAATGTATTATGCGAGAATGCGTTGAATGGAAACACTGCGACCATTCAGAAGAACTGATAAGAAAATTAATTGTCATTTAGCGATTTTTGGCCGTCCTTATCTTAAAAATGGATCTCTGGAGGATGCCACATCATTGCGGCTTGTGTTCATAATGAATGACATGGATCCTACTGTCGGTGAAGTGTGAGTGCTTCTAAACCGAAATATTTATGAAAAATACTGTAATTCATTTTCAAGCTTCCTTCCGATTGACTGCTCTTCGATTGACTCAATTTACCTCTTATTTCTATATAGGTTATGGGAATGGAGCGAGAAGCTGGCTGAAAGTCTCATCCGTCTCCAGAAAGAAAAATTGAAAGACACTAAAATCAGTTTCATAACCAAAGATTATTGGAGTCAAGAAGAGTTCGAGTTACTCTTGCTTCTGATTCGGATCGAAATGGTCGCTGCAGTCGTGCTCATCATTTTCACCACATTTTCCTCCATGACGGATGATTGGGTGACGTCTAAATTTTGGCTGGGTATCCTCGTGGTTGTGACTGTGGCCATGAGCAACTTGACAACTTATGCTCTTTTGGCGATTTTTGACATACCCTTCGCAAATTGTACACCTATCCAAGGGATTTTAGCACTTGGTGAGGACATACTTTTTGCACGTTTCTTGAAAAGGGAGTCTGGAAGGAAAAATAGGAATATTGCGGGAAGTTGGGTGAAACACACCAAGCTATTTTTAGTGTCTGAAGTACGTGGGGTAAGCCTGGTGGTTAATTTTCAGCAATACAGTATTTGATTGATTTAAAAGAAGAAGAAAAATACCCAGGTCAGCCAATGAAGAGAGTATGCACTGCTGACACATTTTATTTTTGAAGGTCGTCTAATATTCTAATGGGAAAAGAGAGATACCGATAAGAAGAATAAGACCTCAATCAAACCCTAAGTCAGAATCTGTGTTTGTGAGAATGTATTATTCTGAAAGAGTAGTTTGAGCATTAAGAAAGCTTAGTTTTGCGCTCTATAATTGTATTTTTTTATTTATATGACCTGACTGATCTATCACTCCATTTTTTTTGGATTCGTCTCAAGTAATAAAAAGCATGCCTTCTTTTTGGGGAAATTTTTCAAGCGCACTGAACTGCAAGATCACGAGTTTAATCATATCTCATGTTTCATTAAGCAGAATGGAATATTATAAATTATAAATTAAATATGCGTAACTAAAAATGGATAATTTTTAGGAATTAGGATACAGCATTTTTTTTTTTCAAATGGATGACTTCCGAAAAACCCTGTGCTGTTATTTCTAGGAAATGTGCTCCTTTAATTGAAACTAAAATTTCTTTTGATTCTATAAAGGGATCGGAGTTGATGATGGATTTGTGCTGATGAGTGCATGGGCTGTTACACCCAAGCATCTTTCTGTTCCGGAAAGACTATCCCTCGCATATGGTGAAGCGGGGGCATCAATTGCACTGACTTCAATCACTAACATGATCGGATTTGCTGTTGTATCATGCATGCCAGTCGGCTTCATCAACATTTACGGACTAAATGCTGGTGAGGAAAAATGACGTTTTCGTCAAAAACGAATTTCGATAAGTTCGCCAGCAGTCAAGTACTTTTAATTTAATATTTTTTTGCTCCCACAAGTTTTCGAGCATTTCAAAAATTCGTTGGCGTCTCGTTAAAAGGTTGCGGTATATTGTGGATTAGTAGAAGATGAGGCGTTTCTAAAAATAATGTATGATACGTTCGAATCATATACTCGAAACTTCTATTTTGAATTTCGTGGAAAGAATATTAACTGGCACTGCCTTTAGCCTGTCTCCATGTATTGTGTCCCAACTGAGAAAAACCAGGAATATATTTAAATAACTGTAAAAAATTATTTAAACATTAAACATTTTGTAGTAAACTTTTTGTAGCTTTGAGACACCATTTTCATTGCGGATGATTCAGATATAAGCTATATCTTCTAAATTCGATCGAAAATAGTCAATGGGTGATGAAAATCGAAAACCAATCAGTTTTTCTCATGTTTTCGAAATTCTGCGCTTTCATTATTGTAAAAAAGTAGAAACGAGTAACAGAACAACGAATCACGGGTTGGACGCTCCAACAGTAAAATTCAGTTTGCTTTCAGTGCCCTGATTTATTTGCATTTAGGCAAAATATTTCGGAGGCTACCATGAAACATATATTTTCACAATGATAAATGTGGCGTGAAATTACTATTGATGCAATGGGGTGCATAATTTTTGAAAAAAACCTGAGAAAATCATCTATCACAAAGCGTGAAAGAAATTTGTATGATTTTGTCTTTTCCAGCTGTTTCGGTTGCATTTGCGTACATTTTTACGATGACATTCTTCGGAGGTTGCCTCGCGTTAATGGGACGAGCAGAGGAACAAAAGCGTCACTGCATCACGTTTCGGAAAATGCCTGATCGTAAGGTTCTGATGCGATCATTCAATCAATCGATCAATCTATCTCATATTATCATACACTTTTTTTGATCACTCATCTCTACTTGAAGGAGCTCAAGACGACGATGAGACGAAGTATCCGATTCCAGGATTGAGTCTTGTGTTGGGATTCGATTATTGCAAACATTGGGCGTTTCTGCTCAGCCACAAGACCGCAAAGGTTTCCTTGGGATATGTTTTCGTTTGCGAATTTTTAAATTAATTGGAATGTCGCCAATTTATTTCAAGAAGAACAAGGTTGACATTTTTTAATGTTGAAACTTCCGATGTATATTTTTTTCTCTTCTTTTTTCAGTACGTGGTGGGAAGTGTCTATGCTGTATATTTGTCCGGAGTCATCTACTGCTGCTCACAACAAGAATATTCTCTTTTGCCGGAGAGTTTTCTCCCCTATGAAAGTCCTGCGAACATATTTCTCCAGGAACAAGCCGAACATTTCCTGGAGTATACAAATAGATATTCCGTGAGAATTCTATTGAAAAAAAGGGGCTTGGAAACTGAATCATCAGCTATTTATTTACTTGCAGATGATTATGAACAAGCCGATTGATTATTCTGACCCGGAAATTCAAAAAGACCTCCTCGGAATCGTGGAGTTTTTAGAGAACGACGGGAAGTTCCGATCGGCGACTTACACGGATTGTTGGCTAAGAAGTTTTCTCGCTTATGTGGAAAACAATGCGCATTTGGATTTGAATATCACCGGGGAGAAGAATTTCAACTACAACTTGAAAAAGGTTTGTCCGGAGAGTCGCGCCTCTTTGAAATTAGGCAGGACATTTTAAATTTAAATTATGAATCATCTAAATTTCTTACTCCACATGTGCGAAGATCGAAGTACTTATACGATTCTATATACCACAGTAATTCCAAAATTGGAAACCTCAATTTTCCCCAATCAGATTTAGATGATTTTTCGGAATATTTCGCGAAGTTTAGTATTAGACAGCATTCTCTTCGGTTAAATATCAATGTCCTCTTCATGATTTCAACCTCAAAAACAATTGGAATAGATATTCGCCACGAATTTTTTTCATAATGCGCAACAACAAAAACATGCATCCATCATTTCATCTTTAACTTATTTCAGAGGATAGACAGAGACTCATCTTTATGCTTAAGGGATGGTTAATAATTTCTTATCGAGTGATCAGTTAAGTTGTTGAAATTGGCTCTTGTACGTTTACTTGTGGAAGTATTTTCTCGCTGGGAGAGAAAACCTTCTGGCTGGAGACGTTAGATTCGACGAAAACGGGAGAATCATGACCTCACGATTCATGTTGCAACCCGAGCCTTTGGATACTGTCATGGATTTCCAAGGCTTAATGGACTACGCCTACAAAATTGTTGGGAAGAAAGCATACGCCAAATACAAAATCACCATGTACAACCCCAACAATCCCTTTTACGCGGAGCTCGTGAGAAATTTTTTAAAATCTTGTTCTCTATAAAAAATTGGTTCAACCTTCCTCGACGCTTCAAAATCCTTTTTGATTGCCTTCTTAAAGTCAAAATCATATTATTTATTTAAAATCTCTTCGATTTCTGCATCATTGGGGGAAGAAATAGTTTTCGTGTATGTTATATTGAGACGTTGCTTCGTTTGACTTACCTGTGGAAAACAAGGATTAAACCGGGAGTTTTCTTCCATTACTGAATAGTTATTGTTGGGATATTGATATTCTATATTCAGTACTTAAGAAGTATGCAAAAGTTTTATGAAAGTGCCTCGTCTCTTCTTCCCCGTAGTCTCGTCTTCGAACGAATACTTCTGAAGGTCATTGTTACAGAGTATGAGAAAAAGACTTGGGAAGAGAAAAGATGTCTTACAAAGAACCATTCATGGTCGGATTTGTCTGGGCGTGAATATTTCTTTTGAATGCTCAAAAGCTGTGTGAAAAAGCTGAGTTTGCGTTTGAGAGGATATTTTCTGGTATCATTTGAACCGATTGCTTTTAAATTTTGTTCTGCATTAAGGCGCAAAAAATATTGGCAGAAAACATGCGCGAGAAAAATGTTCGCTTGCTTGTTACTTAATTTTCCTAAATATTCGCCGTCAGCAGAAATATTTTTCAAACGCATTTATCGAGGCTTCTGAAAATTTAATTTTCCTTCTTGATCCGTGTGTAGTTTCGGATGATAACTACTCATGTAGTTCCTGCCATGTTGATCACCTGTGCGATCATGGCAACCATGGGCTTCATCTTCATCCCGGACAAAATCTACGCTTTCTTCGTAACCATGAGCATGATTTCCACTTCACTCGGAGTCATCGCAGTCTTGTACCTCTGGGACTTTGGAATCGATTTGAAAGCATTTTGCATTCTCAACCTCGCGTTTGCCTTCTCTGTCGACTCGGTGTCGCACCTGTCGTTCGCATTCTCGGAAAGCCACGGAGACACACCGACTTTGAGACTCGAGATGACCTTCAGAAGAGTAATGAGAGCCCTGTTCACGAGTTCCTTCAGCACCATCATTTCCGTGGTTCCAGCCATTTTGATTCCGGCGTCGCTAGCGTATTCGTTTGTGGTCGGGATTCCTATGACCATGGTGCTGAGTTTTTTGCACGGCTTGTTGTTTCTTCCTACTTTATTGGCGGCGTTGCCGGGAACTTCGTTAAGTGATTGTAGGGGTAAAAAGAAAAGGAAGATGACCGAAAAAGACACGGAAGTTGTGGAAGAAGTGGATGTGTTCATTCGACCTGTTGTGGGAGGAACCCTCAAGTTGTCAGACTTGTGACGCCCGGGTTTTTGAAAGTTCAAGGTAATTTTTTTTAAATTCTGGATTACATGAGAAAAATGATGTTTCTAATGCTCATGATGATGATTCAAACGAATTTCGAGACGGTCTGTCAAACGGATTCCTGAACCGCCTTGCAAGGGTTGAGTCGTAGGTTTTTTCTGTGCTTCCAATTTTTTTTTAATCTTTGATCGTTTGAATGGAGATGGAAGTCATTTTTACAGAGGGATCAACCGTTTCGTCCTATTCTGAACTTACATGTGCACTCCATTGCAACTGTTTAAAAATCTTGATGATTAGATTGTGATGTGAATAGTATTGGGTGGAAATAATCACTGAATTTTTGTTAATTTTCATCGGAGGATTCGAAAGGTTCTTAAAAATGTTCTAATTTTTCCCTATGCAGTTTTAAATTTTCTGAGATTTAGGTTGAATGCAAAAGTTTTAAATTTCCACTTCACTTACTTTTCAAACGAACAATCATTAACCAGATGTGGTAAATTTTTTTGATTCGTTTCCTTGTAAGTCGAACCGTACGCTTTTCGGGGCCCGACTCCATGTAATACTTTTTACGACGACTGAAATTTCGGAGTAGATGAAAACGGTTTCGCGAGGTATGATGAAAGATTTAGATCGGGAAAATGTGCGAAAACTGCAAGTGTTTTTTTGAATATATTTCGGAATCTTTTGAATATGATGCATATTTGTCGTTCATGATTTTCGAAATTCTGTATGCGTTTTTCGGAGATAAAAAAGGTGAGCTGTCTGATGATCAGCTTGAAAGAATTCGATTCAAATTTTCTTTTGTTCCAAGGGCTTTTCCTTTTCAATAACTTCTAAGTTGAATGTCTGATTATGCCTTCAATAATGCTTAACTTTTTTCTCGCCCGCGTTTTGGTGTCGGAAGAAGAGTTTCTCGATAGTTATTCATATTTTAAATTTTCCAGCTTTGATAACTAATCTTGAAACATTTTTGAAAATTTTTTAAAATACAGAATTACTGATTCCTCTGAAAGATTTCGGCATGAACAAAACAAACGACATGAACTAAATCTGGGAAAGTTTCGAAAATTAAGCAGGCTAAGCTATGAACTTGGGGTATAACTTGCCAGACCGATTTAACAAATTTTCTTCATAGATGTCGCTCCTCAATATATGGAAAGTGGCCCCAGATGCTTCCTCCTCACCCCATGACTGATTCTTCGCGCATCATGAAACTTTAATGCTGTAATTCTTTTTGAAACAAGAAACTTGATGAAAGTGCTAAGTGAAAATTACTGAATTACAAGAAATCTAGGAAATGAAGGATTATAAATATTATTTTCTAATATGAAATCGTTGTGTCATCCCACGCGTACCCAGTTTGACCTTGACAACCCAGCATCAAATCATCGTCATGCAATCGTTAGGTTTGTAGAATCTCATCACAAACCAGTTGTTGTTTATAAGAAATTATTTTCAGTGTCAACAAAAAAGCCAGAATGTTCTTGAATAAAACTCAATACAGGATTTATATTGCACTTTTTGTTGTAAAAAAAATGTTTCAATGCTAAATGGGACTGTTGTAACAAGATATTACGGTTTTGATGTCAAATCAAAATTTAGCACCTGGATTTGAATTCCTCCACCAGCGATGCACACAATTCCCTCAATTTAAATAATGTATTAATCAATCCCAAAGGAGAGGAATTCATTCCTACACTAAAATTCGTTGATTTTAAATTACGTTATGGGCTGTAATAAATAAGTCTTAATATATTTCTAAACGTAGCTTGTCGCATCGCCAGTCCCAAGAAGATTTCAAATAAAAATGTTAAATTCATAAAACAATATTAGGACTTAAATATTGCATTAACACAACTTGAAAATTTGGTTCAATTTTATTTGAAATTCCACCCAATTACCTTATTTTACAATTGAAATGGTGCGTTGAATTATTGAAGAAGTTGGATATTGATTCATTCACTTGTGTACCATCAGGTGTACCTTTTTATAAAAATGAAAAGAATGACAATAATGCTCATCATACTCACGCACAAAATTGTTGTTCGAACAAATATTTTTTGGTGCGCAAATCAAGTCATTTTCTAAAGATGAAGTTTATTTTCAACCAAGGAAGTCCCGATGACAAGAAAATATAGCGAATGAAGAATTACAGTAGTAAAACAAAGCTTTTTGGGGGCCGAAATTCGCTCTCGTTCAAATTTTTTGCAATCTTAATTTTGAAGCTCAGGCCTCTGAATTCCAGAGAAAGGAACAGTAAAATTGTTTTACGATAATAAATAAGCCATTTTGACATGGAAAAACTGCCTCATCTCTACAAAAAAAATTCAACCCGAAAAGGTATAATACTCAACCTGTTGTCAAAACGAATTTAAAAAGAAGGAGATTAATTCCAACACGATTTTCTGTATATCCATATTTCTTCAACAACGTCGGAAGGGGTTTTCAAACTTTGCACAGACAAGCTTCCATCATCATCTATTTCCAAGACAATTTCTTCGTTTGGTGAACACAATCAGTTTTGAGACTCAATTTCCTTCTTATAGTCTTCTTTTGTCAAGGCAAAATGGGTCGAGGAGTTTAGATAAGCATTTGTTGGTTTATGGGTCATAGTAAGCTTCGTTGTGACTTTATTTCGTGGGAAAATCTTATCTTTTATGCCACTTTTCTGTTGATAACCTCGCTGGGGTTGAACCTCCCGGACGGAGGCAACTATTTCAAGAAAATACTTTGATGGATGAACTGACGAGGTTGTTGTTCTTTTTTTTTCTCATTTTCTAAAGTGAGAAGGATTGTCTGCTTCAACGACAGAAACGAAAGATCGTCAAGTGCACGCGAACTTGTCAAAATATCTCGATAGAAATGTCTTCATAATTCGGTAAAATTTACATTATCAATATTACTGTGTCGATAAGAATTAATTCGGGCATTTCCGTGCGTGAATGTGCTATTTATTATTATTTTAACACGTTTTTATTAACTTGCTTTCTTGTCCGTTTGTTTGTCCGGATCAAATTTTGCAACTCAAATTTCGCTCACTTCCCGACTAGCTAGCAAGCTGAAACTTTCAGGATAGCTTAGAAACTGATGACAATGCAATCTTTTGTGAAAAGAAAAATTATAAGAATATTTTTTTTAAAGAATAAAATAATTATAGTAGATTAAAAAATTAATCTAAAAAACCACGTTTTTCAAGTAAGACTAAAAAGCACAAAAAAATTTAGTAGATTAAAAAATTAATCTAAAAAACCATGTTTTGAAAAAGGAAAAAATAACCTTAAACGTGGTGTGCATGGAGATTGTTGGGAAGAAGTGAAATACAAATGAAATAGATGCACACCACGTGTAAGGTTATTTTTTGCTTTTTGAAAACATGGTTTTTTAGATTAATTTTTTAATCTACTAAATTTTTTTGTGCTTTTTAGTCTTACTTGAAAAACGTGGTTTTTTAGATTAATTTTTTAATCTACTATAATTATTTTATTACCAAATCGAGGGAAAATCCTGCAATTATAAAAAGTTGTTATCTTGGATGCCAACATTGAGAAATAGCTTCTGCTGATTAATATGTTGTATCATGGAAATCAAAATTCGTATTTTTACAAACTGGAAAAGTGAACTTTTTTTATTGTCTCACGGTTCTGAGTGTAATGGGAAATTTTGCGCAATGTCAATACTGAACCGGATTTATATTTTTATTCGTATCACAAATTTCCTCTGAAGTCTTTTCTTCCGGTAGAATTACAATCGATATTGAATTCTAAAATTGAGTGTCGTCCTGATTCCGGGACAGAAGTGCATATGATTGTCGTTATAGTTTCTGTCTAGTTTTGAAATAACCGGAAATTAATGGAATGGAATGAATTCTTGATGATGAGCTGCATTTTTTTTTACAGCTTATGATATTCATCTGATGATAACATACGACGATGAAACGGGTGACGAATTTCATCCGACAACAATTCCATCGGCTCGGGTTCTACGTGGGCAGTCATCCTGGGTTCACTATTGCCTTCACAGTGACCCTGTTGTGAGTGTTTCTTTTTTTATATATTAGAGAATTTAAAAAAATCTGATTAATTTGTAAAACTAGTTCCAAGTTCACCAAGACACTTATTTTCAGGAACTATATACGTGCGTTGTTGTTGAGTTGACAACAACAGATGAGGGCAGAAATTCAGGAAGAATTTAAAAGTTTTGGTGGTACATTGGATACCATAATTTTAAAATATTTTCAGGTGGTTTTTCAAAAAAAAAGAGGTTTCTATGGTACTCGCTTAAACGCGATAGATGCAAGGAAATCCCCACCAACTGATTAACCGTAAGGTTGAACTGGTATTTTCATTCATTCATTTTTTTACGGCAGAGAATAAAACTCAATTTTTGAATCTAGCTGTCAACTTTCGGTGGGTCGTGACTTTTTAATTTTGGATATAATAATATCAATTAAAAGATTACAAATTGTTGCCAGATCAAAATTAGACGACAATTAAATCTTGGAGTAGCTTTTATTACTTTATATGAACGTATAATTCTGGCAAAAATCCTACTGTACCTTTAATAGAAAAATAATAAATCAGTTTATTGAAAAACCACAAAAAATTCCGTCATCCTTTATTAATAGGATTAATTTATTTTAATATTTACTTTGAGGCTTGTCTGATGACAGAAAACCCTAGACTGACGAAACTTGTGAACCAAATAAATAATTATTGAAAAACCACCGAAAATTCCGTCATCCTTTATTAATAGGATTAATTATTTTGATATTTACTTTGAGGCTTGTCTGATGACAGAAAACCCTAGACTGACGAAACTTGTGAACCAAATAAATAATTTCAAAGTTTTACGAGTCGCTAAATGAAGTCCTTCTTCATCTGGGATTCTTTATTGATTTGATAAAAAAATCCATTTGATAATCATTCTCGTATTTATTTATTTATTTATTTATTTATTTATTTGCACAGCGTATTTCTTCAGGGCTCATTGAGAGCGAT